GGCTGGGGGGGGTCGGGAGGAGTGGGGTTTGAACCAAGATGGCAGGAGGGGTGAGGGGAGGGGGGAGGACAGCAGTCGCAAGGGGTGGTCGAGGGGCCAGGGGGGAATCACGCGCGCGGCGGCGGCGTGAGGCGGGTGCAAAGGTGGGAGCCGCTGCGACCCGGCAAGGCGGGCGGCGCGAGCAGCGTCGGCCAAGCGGGGTCGGAATGGCGGACGAGATAGGGGACCGCAGAGGAGCCGAGAGGGTGTGGCGAACGGGCGCAGGAGCGCGGCGGCCGCGCGTGGGCTGCTCGGCGCGTGCCGGACGCCCACCAGAGCAACCCATGCCGCTGAGGTTGTAGTTGATGGTGTCCGACCCCATCTTGAAGTGGTTCATGATGGTGGCGCTCAGGGAGGGCGTGGGGTTGAACAGGGAGCAGTTGACGATGACGACCTTGATCTGGCGGGGCTTGACGCCCGTCTTGTTGAGCACGTCGCGCACGGCGGTGAAGCACACCTGCGCGCAGTCCGCAGGCGCCAGTAATGACTCGGTCAGTAACAAGAAAAACTCTGCTTTGTGTTGGTCCATGCATGCGCACGGAAATGGAGGTACGGATCGCTTTGCTGCCGGCCGGCCGGCGGCGCCCGTCCATGCGCCTGCCGCCCTCGGCCGGGTGAGCGGCTGCTCAGGGGCGATATGAGGGGTGCCGCGCGCGCACGCCCTTGGGTTCAGGGAGTGGGGAGATGCGCGCCTGCTCGAACTCCCAGCGCGCGTTGGCCATTGTGGGCACGGGGTTGTCCAGGTCAGCCATGCAGGGCGGCAGGTACGTGTCGTCTCCCAGTCCGCTGCGGGCGAGGACCTTGGTCTGGAAGTCCACCGTGGAGTCCGTGAACATCTGGGGCAGTCCGGGGGGGGGGGGACGCGTGGCAACCACGCGAGCGGCGAGGGGGCTCAGGGGTCTCGCGTGAAAGAGGCGGGCGGCTGCGGCGATGCCGCTCGTGAGGCGGCAGGTGTGGTGCAGGGACACGAGCGAGGGACGACACTGCAATCCAGGGTGCTCAGGTGAGGGAAGAGCGTATCTGTCGTCCAAGCACCCGCCCGGCCGTCCCGCTGGGGGCCGCCACAGGCGCGGCGGCGGCGTGGCGGGCGGGACGCCGCGGCTGCGCGCGTGTGCTGCGGACATCGTGTCGCGCGACGCCACGCACCCGCGTCTCTGAGCCGTCGGGGCCCTTGACCATTAGGGAGCGCGCCATCTCCACCGCATAGGGCTTGCTCCACTTCCAGCTAAGACGGCAGGGCGGCGGGGCGAGCCGGAGAGCCGCGGCAGGCGGCGGGCAGCGTGGCGATTAGGTAGGTCTGTGGCGAACGGCGGTTTGGGCCCCTGCCTGTCGTTCCCACGCACATGCTTTTTCCGCAACGCTTGCGGGCTGCCAATTGCGTTGCTTGAAAAAGCGGACTCTGTTTCCTGGGACCAAACGCTGCCTAGTGCGACGGCCCCTCCGCCCCTCCGTGCCTCGCACACACCTCACGCAGCCTCCCGCCGCCCCCCGCCCTGTCAAGCCACGCTGGCAGGCCTACACATGCCGCCTGCCGCCAACCCAGACGCCCTGCATCTGCCTCAGTTCAAGTTCAAAATCATGCGCACGACTTGCTCTGTCAACAATTCCCGCGGACGCGCCAAGGAATTTCAACAGCCGCGCACCTCTCTGGGGGCTTGTAGATGGCAAAGTCCAGGAGGTAGACCGTCCGGCTGGCGCTCATCAGCAGCGCCGCCAGCGCCGCCAGCAGCACGCTCACGCACGCCACCAGCGTCACCAGGTTCACGGTGACGTCACCCGCCGTCACGCTTGCCAGCAGCCGCTCCAGCTCGCCGGAGCGCCACAGGCTCAGGAGCTCGAGCTGTGGCGGGTTTGGTTGTGGGCGGGGGTGCGCCCGATGGAGCGCAGCGATCGGAACATCACCGGTGGCGGGCAAACATGCGCTCGGTTTGAAAAGGGGCGCCAAGTGTGCTGAGTGCACCGCCGTGTTGTGGAGCGGCCACGTGCCCTCCCTGAAACACACGCACAACAGACGGCCACTGCCAATTGGCCCGCGTGCTGTCGTCGCTGCCGCTGCAGTCAAGAGTGCCCAATGGCGCAATTGCTCGCGATCTTTGAAGCGCGGCCTCGTGTCATCCCCAGATCCCTATCCGGTCCCTTCCCGCGCCGCCGCGCGGCGAACTGCCGGCTTGGGCACCCACCCCGAACGATGCGGCCACTGGCAGCAGAAGCGCCGGTCCGGCCCACTGGCACGCGAGTGTGTACCCTCGCTTGATGTGCTTTGCGGCAATGCCGCGCGTGTAATCTGCGGGTCAGAACCGCGCACGGCGAGTGTGAGTTTAGCGGGCCGCGCAAGGCGGGTGTAAGCTGACGAGCATCCCTCTGTTGCGCACGAGTGCGCTGCCGCGCAGGCCCTCCCTGCACCAGGCATGCAGTCCGCTCAAAAATGCTCGATGTTCATGAACAACGGAGATGCGCGCACCGGGGTAGGCCTGTGCGGCCTGCTGGACCGCTGGAGCGGACGGCTGCATAATGGGAGTTGGGCCCGGCCTAAGTTCAGCGCAACAGCTCCGCCGAGCACTGTCAACACACGCCGGACGACACAATTGCACGGTATAGTCAAGTGATGGGGTCGGTGGGATGCGCTTTGAGGGTTGACGAGTGAGTGAGCTGAGCCGCGTCGAGAGTGAGACGACCGCGGGTGTCTACCAAAATAGAACGTGGGATCCTTGATTACAGGCGCGCTCGATACACTCAACAGATCCAGCGCGAGGCTGTGTCGGGCGTCACTCGCCCATGCCCAGAAGCCGGCTTGCAGGCGGGCCACAGTGAGTGAGGCGGCGGACGCACGGGACGGCCGCACCCCCCTGCAATCACACCCCCAATCATTCACGTCGCGGCGCCCACACCCGGTCGCTGATTTGGGCTGGCCACGTTCACGACCCGTGCAGCGCTGACAAGGTCGCCCCTAGTACATTTGCAGACAGGTGTGACGCCGGCCGCGCCTCGTCCCCCCCAAAGCACATCATGGGCTCACGGCCTGTGTGCACCAAGGCGGCGCACGGCACCCTCTTGCCACCTGCAGGGTGGTATTATGTTTCACACTCAGTGCGAATCGAACGAGTATCTGCACGCACTTGCACTCCCGTCCTGCAAGTGCGCGTGGGCATGGGTTGCGCAAAGCTGCCGGCGGGTGCAACTTTTGTCGCCCCTGGACCCCGCCGGACCGCAGCGCAAGCAAACCCTTGGACAGCGCATCATCTCCTGGGGACCCCGCGCAGGCGGCCTTAGTCGCGTCCCCCAAAGGCTTCCCGGCGCCTGGAGCTCCTCTCCTTGGAAGCAGCATTGCCCGAGGTCCTCACCCCCGGCAGCCACCAACTCACGCCGGCAGCAGGCGACGGCCGCGTCCCTGCCGTGTTGCCGCCTTCCAGAGTGCCTGCAGGCTGAGGGCTGGCAGCAAGCTGCTGTCGCCCGAATGGCCGGACACCCATTCCTGACTGGACATCAGCAGCGAAGTTGAGCAGGGGTATCTGATTGTTGCAACTGCAGCCTGACATCTTGTGACGTACCAGTGAAGCAAACAGAAAACATGAGGAGCAACCCGGGATCAGACTGCAAGCAAGTCAGCGGACCATTCGCAGTCAACACCCCAAGGTCAGTTGGACCTTGGTCAGTTGAATCAACCACAGGAGATTGCCGTTTGCAGGCTGCAGAAGGTTGAAACCGCCGTCACTGGCCCTTGCCTCGCCTGATACCATCCTTCAACCCATTTGAACACGGTAACGCCGGTCCCCCCAGCTGGTTCAGGGCCCATCTTGGATCAGCGCACTGCCCGGCGCGCCACCTGGCGCATCCGATGGGTCGTGGGTCACACGTGGGGTGGCCGAGAGATTCCATCGGTCCAATGAGTGAATCGGTCCTTGTGTGAAGTAGGGCTGCTATTGGTTAAGAGCTTCTGGAAACAACATTGATATTGGGAATTTGGGGATTGCCACGCAGGGCTCCTGCAGGCTCATGCTTGGCAGAGTGCATGCGCCAGGACGACGCGCAAGCTGCTGCGACTGCCCCGACACCCAACAGAGAAAACACCCGATCTATTAGATGATGTCCGTGCTGGCACCTGGATCGCGCAACGGGCCCCGTTACGCCGTGCAGTTGGACTCGAGCCGGGGGCCGCTCGCACACCCAGGTTGACAGGTCTGGGGTAGTCAGGTGCGCCGCCTCCGAAATCGCACAGGAACATACCATACACTCACACAGCTGCACGATACTCTAGAAGCTGTCCATTCTCCTCGTCACATGAACATAACAGCGCAATATACATAAAATCCCCTTGCGCGCCATCATTGAGATCAAAAATGGCGGACACTGATCTGCCAAAGTCTGTCGTCAAGCGCATCGTAAAGGCCAAGCTAGACTGCCTCGGTGAAGGCAATGTGCAGCTGCATAAGGACGCAACTCTGGCGCTTGCGGAAAGCGCCAAGGTGTTGATCACCTTTATTACTGCCGCCTCGAGTGACATCTGCAAGGAAAAGAAGCGGCAAACAATTTCAGCAGACGACGTGCTTGCAGCACTGGAGGACCTGGAGTTTGGGGACCTCGTGGCGCCGCTGCAGGTGGCGCTTGACGGTGGGTGATGGCTCAACACTGTGGCCGTTAGCCGGCCCGTTTGCCCGCATGCAAGCATGGCTGTGCTAGGTGAATGCATGATAATGATGCCAGCTTGCGCGGCCCTAGTGGGAGTGAGGCTGCATCGCCCTGCTGCCACGCACAGTGTGGCGGCCCTTGTGGGCACACCGTTTGGATTGTGACTGCCGCCCGATGACGCTTTCAACCTCACACCACCCCACACAGCCGAAAGTCAATTGCTTGCATCTGCACTCGGCCTTTGCGGAGCTGCAGGGATGTCATGCTCAATTCTGACGCACTGCACCCTCTTCCGCTCCCAACAATCATGACATCGCAATCGCCCCTCCCCCCACCTCTCGATCCCGGCGGCGGCCCCGCCACGGAGCACAGCCCACCGCCAGGCAGCCAAGGCCAAGAGCCAAAAGCGGGCAGAGGCGACTAAGAAGCGCAAGGAGCGGGAGGGCGCGGAGGCGGCGGCCGCGGCGGGCGGCGGCGCCGGCGACGCCGCGGCCGGCCAGGACCAGCGGCCGGCAGGCAGCGGCGAGGAGGGCGGCGGCGGCGCTGGCAGCGGCAGCGGCAGCGACGGCGAGGGCGAGGGCGGGGAGGACGGCAGCGACGAGGGAGAGGCGGACGGCAGTGGGGATGGCGATGAGGAGAAGGACGCGGAGGGGCAGGGGGGCGGCAGCGAGGAGGACAAGGAGGGGGCCGGGGGCGGTCAGCAGGATGATGGGGATGAAGAAATGGACGAGTGATCTGGGTCGATCTGTAGCATCATGTAAAGGAGTGTTTCACGGCCCATTTCGCTGTCGCGATTGTCATACAGAAGCCTTCGTGATGTTGCGCACCCGATACACCAGCAAACTGACATGATTGCTGAAGGTATTACAAAGACGCTCAACGCCCAACACACACATCACAGCGGCGGCTCGTGGGCAGTCGCAACTTGCTCTACTAACCGACAGAACGGACTGAAATTTGAAGCCAGAGCACCGCTCCAGAAGCAAAGTGCCTTTGTGAAAAGGAGCGCATCGCAGTGGCGCCCAAGGGTCAGAGGGGTCGCCACGGACGGGCCGAGATGGGTCACGAGCTGCACACTCCAAACCGTCAGTCAAACCCGGGGTCAAAGCTGCACGCAGTGATTGGATGCACTGCGTGCACGAGCACGCACCAAAAGCGCGACGCGAGAGCAAACGACCGGCTGCCGAGCAGCACAAAAATTTGACAAAGCATGCACGAAATTGGCCCGGCGGACGGCTTGCGGCCGTGCGGCACCCTGCGTCCCGCACGGCCGCAGCCCGCGCGCCGCTCATGGCGCGGCGGCCGGCCGCGCGGGCTGCCCCGCCGCCGCGATGGCCGCTGCGAGGGCCGCAACCTGCTGCTGCTGCAGAAACTCCTCCACGCCAAGCGCCGCGGTCTCGTCGTCCCGCATAACCTCGGACGCGTCGATGCCGGCCAACCCTGCACTGGCGGGCCCCGGCGACGGCGACACGCTCGGGCTCGCGCCGGCACCCGCGCCGGGCGCGCGGCCCGGCGCGACGGAAAAGGAAATGACAGGCGGGCC